CCCCCCCCCCCTTGCTGTGCAGTGTTGTGCGCATTTGCTCTTAGTAATTGAGTGCATGGGTTTTCAGGTCGTTAGTCCTAAACGTCAGCCACATTTGCACCATCTCTCTTCCCCTACCCCCTTTGCTCCTTCTCCACAGTCCCATCCTCCCTTCTCCCAAGCCCTTCCCTCTTCCCATATTGGGCTGTTGAGCTACAGGGTTGACGAGGCCCTAGACAGCCACGTTCTCAGGACTTTAAATTTATTTTTTCAAATGAAACAGATGGTTGTTTTTAGAAACTTTGCAAAGACAGATATTTGGCATGTTAAAATTAAACTTGAGTTTGGTTTCTAAAATAAACAGTTCAACTTTTTTGGCCCTTAAAAGAAATACTGTGGAAAATACTTCGAGTATAACTGATATTCCCCTTGTTAAACCGGGGGTTGTTGTTGGGTGGATTCCAGTGCGTGTTCCTTTTCCTTAGGAAGGAAAAAAAATTGCGTGTGTGTGTGTGTGTGTGTGTGTGTGTGTGTGTGTGTGTGTGTCTTATTGCCAAGCACACACACGCGTTATGAGGCTTGACAAAAGTCAAGAGTGGTTTTGTAATTTGGTACACAGTAAAATGTCTCCTGGAGACGGCGACGAATCGAGCATTGGTTGTACTTAGATCGATGTGAAGGTTTGTGCATTCACAGCTCGGATCAACACCGGGCAGCAGCGAAGGGCTTGAACTTAGCAATGATGAGGTGGCTGCAGGACTGGGCATTGTTTCCTTCTGCTGCATGTTGCGTTGCTATGACCAGGGACTAACTCAAGGGCACCCAACCACAAGAGCGGCATAGTTTGGGCGACATACGGAGACGTTCCCGAGAATCCTCAACATCAATTGTACTGCAGTAAGCCCCGCAGTGCTGTTCAAATCTATTCTTATTCTCATTTCATACAGATGAGGACTAACTGAAAGACCAGCTTTATTAGGGCTGGAACTGCCCTAGCACCAGGAACAGGCCTGGCACACGGGGAGTGTTCAACAAATGCAGACTGAACCGTTGCCCTAACAGCGAACACTAACATCGCCTGTCCCCTTTCACTGCAGAACTTCCGCAGGACTTGTTGTTAAGGCCGCGGCACTTGGTATTTGTCAGGTGTCAGGCTGGGGTCGGGGCAGGGGCTGGGTGTGGCCAGTGGCGATTCTCTAATAGAATTCTTGCCCGGGCTCTATCCTCACCGGTATTAATTGAGTTCAACCACCGTTCGGCTGTCAGAGGCGTGCTGCATGTTTCTGGAAAGCTGAAACAGACCAGGGCAACTAAGAAGATTCTGCTTGGCCATCTACTTCCAAACAAACCAGCCCTTGAAAGCTCTCTGGATCACAGTGGTCTGATGCAGACTAAGAATACAGAAATAGCGACAACATTTGAGTGTCCATTTTGCCAAAGCCACCCGCTGCAGCCAAAGGCCAAACAATACCCAGGCTAAGTTCCAAGGGAAAAAGAAGGCTTTCACGAATGGATGATTCTGAGTCCTAGTTAGTCCTCTATTCCCAAAGAGTCTCATTCGGAGACGTAAGCGAGGCCTTAGCTAATCTGCCACGAGTAGGTCCAAGGTTGCCCTACCAAACTGCTGAATTGGAGTTTAGGAACATTTTGCATGATGCCCTCAGAGGGTCCCTCCCATACTAACACCACAGAGCGCCGGCTTCCTTGTGAAATGCCCACAAGAATTGTATTCCTTCTGCTTGTTGGGAACGCTCATCGTTAGCACTGGAACCCAGGGCCGGCAGGGAACAGATCGACAATATTGCCTTCCCTCCAGCATCCAGCCAAGGAAATGCGTGGCGGGCCTTCAGGAGCATTTTCAGAGAGGTCGGAGGCTGATGTGGCACCGAGCCATTGTTGGCTCAGGTGCCCTCGCCCTCATCCTTCGACGCGGCTCTGGTTTTTTATCAGCAGTTTCACAGCCCCCACCTTTGTTGTCTGTGGTACAGTGGGGAGCTCTCAGCGACCCTATTGCAACAGAACGGAACCCCGTCCAGTCCTGTGCCATCCGCACCCTTGCTGTTCGAGCCCGTTGATGCAGCCGCTGTGTCAGTCCATCTGGTCCAAGGTCTCCCTCCTTTCACTGCCCCTCTGCTTTACCCTGGAGGACGGGTTTCTCTCCTGCAGGAGTGAGACAAGGCTCCATGGCTGCCTCTCGGGAACCCTCCGTCTGCGCTCACCATTGTCCCCGTCCTCTCCCCCCTTGCTCCTCACGTCATGGTTTCTGACCCTGGAGGTGGAGACGCAGGAAGAAGTGGACGTGAGCAAGAACTTGTTAATGCACAACAGGGGTTAAGAGAAGAGGGGAAAAAATCCTGCTCCCCGAAAGCTGGTGTCCCAAAGGTTACGCGGTACTAGAAGTACTGTTTTTAATGTCGTTGTCATTTTCAAACCTTCTCTGCCTTTCCTGTAAGACTCGGGTCTTTTGGGCAGTTTCGAGGATGAAGGTGAGTGTCCAAAGTCACTTGACCCCAAACCGAGGTGCACACGTGCATGCCTGTTTTTTTTTTGGCCGCGGGCAGATGGTTTGGATGATCTGGTGGCCAAGCTTTCCTCCTGCCCTGTACAGGGGGACTCTGCTGCCCTGAGCAGGTGAGGGTGGGAGGCAGTTTCTGCCCCCACACACCTGCTGCCCTGTCGCACAGGGAGGGCATTGTTTGTCGGAGTGAGCGTGGGCTCCTTTTTCCCGGGGTGCATTGCAGTTTGGCGTGGTGAATGTGAGCTTGGCGTGGATGGGGCGTACTGGATTTCCAACACGCAGGGACTAGGCTAGGCGGAGGAAGGGTGCCTGCTCTTGGTGGAGGGAGGTGTACTGGACCCTGCTCCCTGATCTTGGTGCGGTGCAGCCTCGGGAAAGAATTTCTGCACCCCCAGTATCCTCATCCGTAAATGGGGGCACAGACCATGGGCGAAAACGGCAGCAGTCAGCTTCAGTGGCGATTCTGGGGGTGATTCCAATCTATCAGCGACCCTGTAGGACAGAGTCAAACTGCTAGTTAGGGTTTGGGAGACTGTAACTCTTCACAGTAGCAAACAGTCTCATCTTTCTCCTGTGGAGCAGCTATTGTTATTGGATACTTCGTTTTTAAACTTCTAAGTTAAGCACGTCTACATACAAATAAATGACGTCTTCATCCAATTGACTCTTTGGTCAGATAAGAGGCAACTCATGAATCAGATTGATACACGTTGCTGCCCCATTCCATGTTATATCCCCATACTATTTAGAAGAAAGTTTTTAAATAATTCTATAAGTAATATTAAGTATAGAAAAATGGGCAAGTATCAAGATGAAAACACAAATCACCTGTAATCTACTTCCCTAGAAATAGCCATTGTCCACAGCGTGGTCTCTCCCCATGCTGCGCACTCCGTTTGCAAGGCAGAATGGGAACATGCTGTTGCTGTATAGCTTGATTATCTTATCCCCCCAGCTGTGTTCCTTGGACGATGACTTTGGGGTGGGGTTACAAATGAAGAGCTGGTGTAGGAGTGTGCTTGGTACAGCCGTGGCACGTCTGTCTTGCCTTACAGAAATAGCTGGGGGTGCCTGGCTGGGACCTGAACATTGGTCCCGTTCTCAGGCTCAGCACTTGGCTCTTTGTAAGCTCTTAGCCCTAGTTCTTCACGGATGGCTTTTGTAGGATTCTGGCGTTTGCGTGTTCTGTGCCAGCATCCCCAGTGAGCGCGAGTTATTTCAGTTCTGCATTTTGACTGCCTTGAGGCCCTCGAGCTGAAGTGCGGCCGGCTGGAGGGGGCCCAGCCACACGCTTGGCAAGTCAGAGGTGTGGTTTTGTTTTGTTTTGGCCTGGCTATAGCATGCATTTGATTATGCTTTTGACTCGCTTGTTGGCTGTGGGCTTGGTATATTACTTCCTTTACTAGGAAGTGAAAGTCGATGCGTTTCCCCTCTGGATTAGCACGGCTGTGAAAGGTTCAGGTGGACGTGCAGTCTGCATTGGGAGTGGGCTGTCCACCCTGACCACACGGGAATTCCTCAGGGCTTTCCTTCAGTGTCTTCTGGTCCGGCCCTTTGAAGTCCTGAGATGTTAAATCTGGACTTCATTTGTTTTTGTTTTTGGTCCTCCCCTCCGCCCCCCCTTAACATATTGAGCAAGTTAATTTTCTGTTTGGGTTCCTCTGGGTATTGCTTCCAGCCCTCTGTGCCCCAAGAATCTACCCCGAGCCCTGCCAGAACATTCCTGTGGTTTTCCATGGGACAGACCCGTGCATTATGAACTTTTCAGTGGTGGCGTGTTTCTTCTGTGGTTAATTAAAACATCTGGCTTTCTTTTTCTGCCAAGAGAGCACCGTTGGTTGGTCAAGCATTTCAGGGGTTCAGATCCCTAGCCCTCCCCTCCGAGTCGCCCCAACGTGCCTCTAGGTCGCCGTAGAAGCTCTCATCTCTGCTCGTGGAACGGTTTTTAAGCGTTTGGAAGGATGGTTGGGGGTTAGCCGGCTGCACGGACAGGTTTCCGAGAGAAGGAGGGCTTGAGCGTGGGTCTCACACTGGCTCCTGGCTTCTCCCCCTCCAGGTTGGAGCTGCTGTGGGTGTGCTCTGCGGGCTGTAGCCAAGCATGCTGTGTCGGGTCTGCCCCGCCGAGGAAGAGAAACATTCGCTGGATGGAACATCCATAGAAGAAAGCTGCTGCGAAAGCTCGAGACAGATGCCAACTGGCACACCCTCAGGTGGGTAGAAATTAAGGTCGACTGCTGACGGGACTGGGGTGGGTGGGCAAGGCTGTGCATTCCTGTTGCTATTGTCTCAGCTGTGCTTGGGGTGCAAATTTGCATAGCAAATTCGGTTCTCTCTAACAGTGTTTACAAACCCCGCTCAATTTTTGCATGGATCAGCTATCTCTTTATTTCCATTTTGCTGGTTCTGTCTCCAGTGTGCTAGCTCCCCTTCCTACGACTGACTGACCGGTCTCGCAGCGGTCCTTGTGTCCGGGATCATTTTACGCATGGCTGATGGCATTTGGCTGCAGCCCGTGTTCGTAGGGTGATGGTCTCCAGGGTTCTTGTCCTCTCTATTGGTCCACTCCGTCTGACTTTTCCATACTGGGTTTTTGAGACGACCCAAGAAAATGATTCCCAGTTATTCTCGGGATTCCTAGGAGGGTTCAGATGGCAGATTTCTCTTCTGTGTGTAGTGCAGAGATTCCCAAATGGATTTGGCCTACCATGCCATTTTCAGGAAAGAAAAAGCAAAACAAAACAAAACAAAAAACCCCAACAAGGTACTCATTGCCTCCCCTGGCAAGGACAACTTGTGTACCATATGTAGTTTATCATCCAAGAGAATGCCGAGGTACCTGCTTCCGTAGCTCCCCTGGATCATTCGTTCCAGCGCCCCCTAGGGATCGGTATCGCCCACATTGGGAATGGGGGTTTCTTCATCTTCCACTGTATCCTCCCTCCAGTCTTCCTCTCTCGCCCTCCCTAAGACGAGAGGAAGCGCTTCAGCCTGAGCGTGGGTGCAGGCAGGGCTGGAGGCCACCCAGCCGGCATGACCTGAACGTGCTGCATTTTGGAGAGGAGGCAGTGTGCAGACTCGTGAGTGTGGACTGCAGTGTGCACACGTGCTTCCCAAGGCTTGCTCCTAGTTCTCTCTGCACACGGTAAAGGGCGGGCCAGGGAGACCCGCCAGTCCCCTTGGGGCAGTGGCTCTCAAACTGTGGTTCAGGACGCCTGTCACAGGAGTCGCCTAAGACCGTCAGAAAACACATAAATATTTCACAATATGTAGCGACATAGTGTGGTTAATCACTATGCTTTAACAGTGCTTAATTATGTTCAATTTGTAACAATGAAAATACATCCGGCATATCAGATAGTTACATGACGATGCATAACAGGAGCAAAATGACAGTGATGAAGTAGCAATGAACATAATCTTACGGTTGGGGTCACCACCGCATGAGGCACTGTGTGAGTTGCGGCACGAGGAAGGTTGCGAACCATTGCCTGGGGGCTCTCCTTGCTGTGCTCCCCTAGCTTGCCTGGCAAGGTTTGCACACTCTTATTCTCCAACCAAAATGTGGTGAAAGTACGGAAAGGGAGGGGTGTGGTTTAAAAACCGGATAGCTCACCTGGCAGGTGGCTCCGCTCTCACCCAGCCGCATCTGCAGCCATCCACTCTGTCTGAGAGCAAGGCGAGCCACGCCCCTGTCTGTGGTCACGCGACCTCCCGGGAAGCTTATTCCTGTCTTTAATGCTCTCTTGGGATGTGGTGCTTCTCTTTTTAGCTTTGTCGTTGCTGGGTTGTTTTCTTTTTCTTTTATGTGATTTTCTGTCTGTGAAATCCAGGATAGGTATAGAGGCAGGAGCTGGATTGCCAGTGTCCTGGGGCCATGGCAGGCAGGGGTGGTTGGGGGCGGTGGGGAGCTAACCCCAATGAGCGCAGGAATGAAGAAAATGTTCTAAAATTGATTGAGGTAATGATTGCACGGCTCTTTTTACCATGATTGAATGATTGAGGTGTGTGATATGTGAATTATATGTCAATAACACTGTTAAAAGATTTTTGTGGAAAATTCCATTGTCTTTTAAAACCCTCTGTTCCACAAAGGTTTGGAGCCCCCTCAGACACAGGAAGACAGGCAGCGGCTCAGCAGGTTCTCCATGTTCAGTTAGTGACGCTGATTACGTTCAAGTAGCACAGCCATCATGACTTTCCAAAGCACTCCAGCATCCTTCATGTAAACTCTGTGCTTGCTGAGCAGAAACTCCTCTGCCCCGCCGCCGCCCACCCTGGAGGACCTACAACGCTGTTCGGTTTCTGTGAGGTCGAGGGATATAGACGGGACTTCATACTCTCCGTCTTCTCCCCGTAAAGAGTTTTAGTCTCGGAAACCCGCAGGCAGCTCTACTCTTCCTTTGGGGTTGCTGTGAGTTGGCATCAATCCATGGCAGTCAGTTTTAATTTTTATTTTTGGTACGGGGCCCTGCGATTTAGGATCTGCTTGATGCCAGAGAGTTTTGAGGGTTTTATCTTTGAAGGGGGTTTCAAAGAGTTCATGGAAAAAGGGAATGAACCAGTATTTGCTTATTTCATGGCAGTGAAATCGGTCTTGGTTGTTTGTGATGGACTCACGTGGCTCACACGCCGTGTGCAGGGCTCAGCCGTGTCGCAGTGGGCATCAGGACTCCATCCCCTTGTGTGGCCGAGTTGTACTTTATGGTGTGCATATATGATGTAGTGTCTGTCTGTCCATTTGTGGGCGGCATTTCTGCCTTTGGGCTACTGTGAAAAGTTTTGCAGGAAGCATTGATGTACGGGTCGCTGCCCGTGGTCCTGTCCTAACTTGTTCGGGGTGAGTTTCTGGGACTGGGATTGCTGGGTCGTGGGGGAGTGCTATATATGGTAGAGCTCGACTTCTGGAAGGACCGCCAAAATGTGCTAACGTTGATTGTGACTGATTGCACCATCCTTGTTCATCTGGTTCACAATGCATAGACTTGATAGTGTGGACACTGACATTAAGCACGTTGTCAGGTACTGCCAAGTTGGTCCCTGTGGCCAACAGAATGAAACACCACCGGATCCTGCACCATGCTCATGATGGTAGTGAAGTTTGAGCCCATCGATGCAGCCACTGTGATCAGTCCATCTGGTCAAGGGTCTTCCTCTGTTTTGCTGACCCTGACCTATGATGTTTTTTCCAGAGACTGGACTCTCCTGATAGCATGGCCAACGTGTGTGAGCTGAAGCCTCAGCCATTCTTGCTGAGAAGGAGCATTCTGCCTGAACTGCTTCCGAGACAGATGTGTTTGTCTGTTTGGGAGTCCAGAACAGGCTCCGGACACCCGAATAGTCATGAGCCCGCCTGCTCTTCGTACCAGCGAAGAGCTCCACCAAGCTCACCTTCCATCGGTTTTCCTTAGTAAAGACCCCAAAGGGTTTTCTTTTCTAAACTGAATTCTAACGTTGCAAGAAAGAAAAACAATCCAAAACAACACCCTCTTCGATTTTAAACACCAACTGTTCATATTATTTAATAGGACTTTGAGCTCTTGTCAGTGTCCACATATCTGTCACGTTAGAATCCACCTGTCCACTTGCTTGCCTTCTTAATTTTCACCTTTGTTTGCTTGCCATTATTTTGCAACTACCCACTCTGTGTATCTGTCAAAATCGATTACATTCTAAGCCGCATGTTTGGAAGGTCATGTAGCATTTATTGAGCTTGCATATCCAATTTTGGACTAGGCCTACTAGTGATATTTATATATTTGCTTTAGGAGCCGTTATTATTATTATTGTTATTAAACATTCTGAGCCTGAGGACCCTGGTAGTGTAGTGGTGACCGACGGGACTGCTCACCAAAGTCAGCAGCCCCTCTGCTGGAGAACTCCTGCAGGAGTTAGAGTTTCTTGTAAACCCACCTGGGCCGTTCTCCCCTGCCCTCGAAGGGGCTCTATGAGTCCGCCCGGACTTGACGCTGAGTTTGGTTTGGGTTTTGAGCCTCAGTGAATGTTACGGGTGCTCCTGGTCTAAGATTTACAAATAGAAAAAGAGGTACATTTTTGGACTCTTTCCGAATCCGTCATGCCATGGGAAAAGCAAAATAAGAACCTAAAATAGTAGGCTTTAAAAATTCACAAATAATGATGTTTGGGCTATTAATTACTTCTTTTCCTTTTTAATCATGTGATTACATGTACATCTGTGATTAAAAATTCAGTACTCATCTTCAGAAATAGTATATCATTTTCCATTTGGAATAATATGTACGTACACACATCTAAGAATCCCATTACATATTTACTTGTGTGTGTGTGTATAAACATATATCTTTCCATCAATATTTTATAACCCAAATGTGAAGCAGGACCCTCTCCCATTTTGCAATTAGAATTGTAGCTCCATTTACGTAACTACTAAATTGTGTTAAAACTGCATTTTGGACAATGTGGGACTACTAACCATCACTGTTCGTTAGCTAGGGAGAAAAATAGGATTTAGTGTTCGGGAACAGTTCTTAAAATGTTTCATTCAGTTACTTGCTTTTCCAGTCTGTGAGAAAGGAAGGCTTTCTGGAGCCTGTACTTAAGTCAATTGCAGGTAAGAAAGATAATTTCAGAGCTTGGCCAGTATTAGAATCTTGGTATTTACTGTAAACACAATTGTTTCAGGAGCAGCCAAATGAGAGGTTATTGGAAAGCTGCCCTGGATTTGTGTGAACACCCCAGGGAGCAGCTGCCGTTCTCACCAAAGCCTTAGCTGGCGCTCTGTTGTAAGCCAAATTTCTGAGTGCATCCTGAATTGAAAAGGCTGATTTCTCCCTTTTAAAGTCAAGCATTGCCAGCTTTTTTGTTTTATAACAGCTTTATTGAGATAAGACTTTCTACTCACAGTAAAGAGTTACAGCCCTAGAAACCTACATGGGAAGTTCTACCTGCCTATGGGGTCACCATGAGTTGGAGAAGGACTTGGTAGCAGTGATTTTTAAATTTTTAATTTTTATTGAGCTATAGCTCACAGCCCATAAATCCCCACTTTCAAAGTGTGCAATGAAATGCTTCTCATGTAGTTACCGAGTTGTGCCGGCACCACACTCTCTAAGTTTCATTCCCTCGAAAAGAAACCCAATGATGTGCCATTTCTTCTCCCAAGCCCTTCAACACTACCACCCTCCTTCTGTCTTTAGGGATTCGCCTCATCTGGACATTTCATACAGGGAAA